AAAAAGGGCTGGGGGTGTAGCTCAGTGTAAAGGCCCTGGGTTCAATCCCCAGTGCTTCAAGGAAACAAATAAGACAGAGACAGAGAGGGGAAAAAATTGAAATTTGTAATTAAAAGTCTCCTGAAAAAGGAATATCTAGGCTCTAATGGTGTCAACTGAAAACTCTGCTAAAGATATGAAGAACAACAATTTTACACAATACATTCCACAAAAGAGAAAATGAGGGAACACATAATCAATTCATTTTATGAGACCAATGTTATTTTGATACTAAAACCAGACAGTAAGTACAAAACTAAGAATAGTACAGAATGATACAAAACATCCTCAACAATTTATCATTAAACTCAATGCAACAATGCATCGAAAGTAACACAAGAAGGGTTTATTATGGGAGTACAAAGCTGGCTTGGCATTAAAAAAAAAAAAATCAATGTAATCTGCCAAACCAACAAGCTAAATAAGAAAAATCATATGATCTTATCAACTGACACAGAAGAAGCAGTTGACAAAACCCAACACCCATTCATGATAAATAAAACCTCTCAGCTAACTTGTAATAGGTGCTGTGCCTAGAATTACATGCTCTGTCCCCGCAAAACATAGCCTAATTCCCGATACCTGTGAAATGAATGTAACCTTGTTTGGAAGTAGTCTCTTCACGGATGGAATCATGTTAAAAATAAGGGTCAGACTGAATTAGAAAAACCGACCTGGTGAGACTAGTGTCCTTGGCAAGATGATGGAAATGTGAACACAGACTCACAAGCACAATGCCATGTACAAATAAAGATTGGAGTGATGCAATCACAAGCCAAGGAATTCCAAAGACTCTTAGCAACTAGGACAGAAAATATAGAATAGATTCTCCCTCAGAGCCCTGAGAAGAAATCCAACCCTGCCATTATCTTATTTCAGACTTCCAGCCTTCAGAACTGTGACAGGACAAATATTCAGGAGGCTGAGGCAGGAGAATCACAAGTGTAAGGCTAGGCTGGGCAACTTAGCAAAACTTCGTTTCAAAATAAAATTTCGAAAAGGGGAGGGACATATATGTATATAGCTCAGTGGTAGAGCACTTGCCTAGCATGCATGAGGGCTTGGGTTCAGTCTATAGCACCAGTTTAAACATATAAATCTGTGGGAGAATAAATTTCTGCTGTATAAAACAGCTACTTTGCGGGCTGGGGATTTAGCTCAGTGGTTTCGCCGCCTGCCTTGCAAGTGCAAAGGCCCAAGTTTGATCCCTGGTACCAGAAAAAAAAACCCAGCTATGACGAGAGCTGGGCATGGTGGTGCATGCCTGTATCCCTGCACTCTGGAGGCTTAGGCAGGAAGATTGCTTTCGAGGCCAGCCTGGGCTACAGAGTATGTTCAAGGCCACCTTATCTCATAAAATGAAAGAAAACAAAAAACAGCTATGATATTATTTGCTAAAATTCTATGAATAAATAATTAAAATAGCATAGCTTGGGCTGGGGATTTAGCTCAGTGGTTTCGCCGCTGCCTGCTGTGCAAGCGCAAGGACCCAACTTCGACCCCCGGTACCAAAAAAAAAAAGGCATAGCTCCATTTGTCTTTCATAGAGTCCCTATTCTGAAAGAAAATGATCATAAATTTTAATAAAAAATTAATAAGGAAATAGAAATATATTACTAAAGTATAACATAAAACGGAAGGTGATGATCATCCTTGAAAAAAGATTTAGAGGGGAAGATTTCTTTGTGCTGAAAGGGAAAAGGTTAGCTTTCTGGAAGTGAAATTTGAGTTGGTTTTAAAAAAGACTGTCAGGATCTTTTCATGATGAGATGATCAGGAGATTGCTCAACATCTTAAGTACAGGTAAGAAATGTTAGGTGATGAACATGGAACAGTAGTGTATCCATCAGATAGAAAGAAATAATGCAGACCAAAGTAGTATGAGGATCCGGACAACAGAGGATATTTATTCTATGGAAAAACTACTACAGGCTTCTGTGCCAGTTACTGGTCTACTGACTTCCAGCTCCGAAGCCAACCTTCTTTGTCCTTATCTGTGATAATGGAGTTGGGGCCCAAAAATGTTCTCCTTTGCCAGCTGGCTCACTGTTAAGCCTTGTCAGTAGGGTGCTGGAGAGGCACTGCAGAAAAAAAGGTGCTTTTCTTCCTTCAGCACGCCCTTGCCTGCTTGTTCTTGGAGCACCCTACAGTCAGCAACATGAGGGACACTCAAAGGCATTCAATCCTTCAACAAGGCAAAATCCCTTGTTAGTGGCTTTGCAGAAAATCCTCCTAGTGCCTCAGCTAATTCCTAGCAAGTTGGACAAGTGTAAATGTAAGGAACAGTCCATCAAGTTCTAGTATTCAGCAGGCAGTGTCCTTCGGCTCTCTAGGCACCAGTGAATTCTGCCATCCACTAAGCAAGCCAAAATCACACTTTCTTCAGGAAGATTTGAAATGCAACTTGAGAGCAGAAGAGGACCCTTGAAATCTGTTCCTTGCTGGGATGCAATGCTTCGGCTCCAGAAGTAGTGATTGTTCTCTACTCTGCTGTGACTGTATTCTTTTGCATTTTCACTACTTTGAATAGTTAATACTGGTTAACCTGTTAATAATTTCCAGTTAATAACTTCATCATTCAAATTACCATGTAGTATGTCTGATTGGACCCTAAAATCTATAAAACTATAAAACTTTTTTAAAATTTTACTTTAGGTAAAACAGAATTCCTAAACAAATTCTTAATTTTAAATAAAAATAATATCCCAAACCCCTGAAACAGCTGTATGGGAGTAGTGATATGAACATATTTGGGAAGCTAGGGTTTGAATCACCTCCAACACTTCATCAATGGCACAGTCTGTAGTTGCAGGAAGAAATGTGGACTCAACTCAGGAGAAATAAAAAACAAGATGGGGAGCGAGGTGCTCTGGGATAAGTTTCCCTGCAAACTCTAATCTTCATTCTCAGAGAAAAAAATGAAACTATTTTAAATTTTCATGATGTTCTTTTACATACTGATGGCTAATGACAGCCATGTGCCATGTTACATTGATTGAAGGTAAAATAAAATTCTGAATAGTTTCCCTTAGAGAGGATCTGAAGTATATGTTCAAAATATACACAAACAGATGCATTTCTCCTTGATTTCACTACCAGTGTCTTGGAAGAGAAACAAAATAGTCAACTATTCTTTCAGCAGCTTCGTATGAATGCATAACATGATCCAGGATCAACAAATAAGCTATAATAATGAGAATGGGTCTTCAAGCAAATTCAGTAAAATTTCTAGCCAATGAATTATATATATATGTATATATTTTAAAAGGAAACTGTCTAGATAAAACCCAATGTAGAGGGCCGGGGATTTAGCTCAGTGGTTCCGCCACCTGCTTAGCAAGCGCAAGGGCCCAAGTTTGATCCCTGGTACCAAAAAAACCCCCCAAAAAACCCAATGTAGAAAAGCTTACAGAGGCCAGAGACTATAGTTCAGCGGCACAGTGCCTGCCTGGCAAGCTCGAGGCCCTGAGTTCAATTCCTAGTACCAAAAAAGAAAAGAAAAGCTTATAGAATTACTTTCAAGTATTTCAAATTTTGAACAAGTAGCTCTGTGTTCAACTCTTGGGAATAATTTCACATTATTGTTGGGATTTATGTTAAAAGACAGAACAATTAGGCTATATTTTAGTCATGAAAAGCCAGAAAAGACAGTGATGTTGCTCAATATATTTTTCAATTTTTTTGAAAACAAATTCTTTTGTAAACTATGATTTTATAAAATAACTATTTAGTAGTAAATAACCCAGGAATTAAAGTTTTATTTACAAATTATAAATATCACAGTTTGAGCACCTATCTTCATTATCAACTACTCTCTTATTTTAGGCTATTTCAAGAAAACTCCAGAATGCTTCTGTTCTGCTAGTTATTCACTTCAACCAAGTACACCAGAACAAATTGTTAAATTCTTCAGGACTAAGTCATGCCCCATTTCACCTTAAACACCAAAACTTGTATTTTCTTTTTCATAAGACTCCTATAGGAAGGGCCAGAGGATGAGGCTTAGGGGATAGAGGGGGGAAAGATTGACTCCTATGAGAAACTGGAAACTATTTAAAAGTGATGAGCATCAAGGTATAAAAAGACTGTAACTAGATATACAATCATAGATTGTTGTGAAGGAGGCAATTAAGGGCCTTTTCCTTCCTCTAATTGTAAAATGTTGTTATGCTTTACAGTTAGAAACAGGCATTTGAATTGTATGTTTTATATTTTCTTCTATAAGGATGCCTGTTTCTAACTCATTAAGCTATGAGAATGGACAAAACAGCCCTTAAATTGGAGAGGTTATCAGCAAAGAAAAAAAAAAAGCCTAAAGAGGGGGGAAAGAAGAAATGCTTGAAGTGTCAATTAAGGTAATACAGTGTTAAAGAGTTAAGAGAGGCAAGGACTAAATTCTAATGGATTTGATAAAGTGCAAGTCTCACTGATGACTCAGAAAGAACTGTTTTGTGGTCATATAATTACCTAACCACAACAATACAGTTTAACTAAGAAGAGCTACTTGTAATGAAACCAGAGGTACTTTTGATGACTGTACAATTTTTAAAAAAAGAAAGGAAAAAAACCTACAACCCTGGGGGTGGGGATGTAGCTCAGCGGTGTGCACCTGGCTGGCAAGCACAAAGTCCAGAGTTTGATTCCCATACCCAAAACAACAAAAACCCAAACCAAACACCACCACAACCCTGCTTTTTCTTTCTTTTTCTTGATTTCTTTACTTATATACTATTCTTGTCTGCTCTGTGCAAATGATAATGGAATGCTTAATATCCTAAGGCCTTTCTGTTAGAGTTAGATGATACTACAATAGACACTTAGACCAATGGGATTAATGGAATCTTGTCGGAGACCAGAGGAAAACTGAGGCCTAACTGGGCTCCTCTGTGAGCACAAAGGAGAAAGGCTGCACTCAGGGGTGACTGAATATTGCAGGTTCTAAGGAAAACTTAAGACAGCTGAGGTTAAGTTGTTTACCAGAGTGTGTACGAATGGCTATCAGAAACCAGATGAATCTTATGTTACCTCATTACTTGTACCAGCTGGATGGGTTGGGGATGGCAATGGGAGGGAGGGGAAGTGTTCCTCTGTCTACCAAGAGTCAAGAGCCCCTTGGCTGCCTGTGCTGTGTCTCTGTCATTCATCCTTGTTCACCCCCAGGTCAGGGAGAACAAAGTAGAAGGTCTAGGTCCCTGAACAAGGCTGGCTGAATGGGTCAGCTACAGGTGGTGCCCAATGTGGGACTTGGGACCTGGGCTCGGCTATAGAATGTTTTCTAAATACCAGGTCTCCCAGTGTATTTGCCTGTGTATCAAAAATGTAATACTATAAAAAGAAATGAGATTTCTTGCTCATTCCTCTTCCTTATGACCATCTATATAAAGGATATTAGACTACTGTACTTGCATTTATTTCTCAGAGTAACAAAAATGTTATCATTTTCTCCTGTAGCTTTCACAAACTAATCTGTGATATTGTGCTTCAATTAATCCTAACCAGATAAATCTAATTCAAATAAAACTTTAGAATTATGTCACAAATGAGTTAAGGGTGATTAATTTTTATTGTTCTTTTTTTTTTTTGGTACTGGGGATCGAACTCAGGACCTGGTGCTTGCACGGCAGGCGCCGGAACCACTGAGCTAAATCCCCGGGCCCAAGGGTGATTAATTTTTAAATAACATAATAGATACTTTTAAAAGCTAATATATCAGGGGCCAGGGATTTAGCTCAGTGGTTCCAGTGCCTGCCGTGCAAGCACCAGGTCCCGAGTTCGATCCCTGGTACCAAAAAAAAAAAAGCTAATTTTTGAAGTGCACTTTAATGTTTAACTTATAAATGTTTACACTCAATTTTCCAGAACATGTTATATAAAATGGAATATGCTGATTTATATTTCACTTTTTCATACCAATAAAGCAAACTTTATTTCCAACTTACTGATGTCTGCCACAAATAAAAACAAAAAATTTTTAACTGCTTTAGAAAAGACTCAATTTTTAAAAATCTCAATTAGAATTTCATGTTAAAGAAAATGAGAATTAAAATCTAGAACATGCAATAGCTATTTATCAAGAAATACACTAGTGTTTATTTACACATATTTGAGCATAGCTCACTGTTTCTCAATGGAAACACTGCTGGCATCTGAAGAGAATTATGCAATATGAAGGACTGTCCAGCACAATGTAGGAAATTTAGCAGCCTCCTTGTTTCTTTCCCTCTAAAATTTCACAGTGTGCTCTCCTCCCCAGTCACTGTGACCACCAAATACAGCACCCCACCAAATTGTGACCACCCTTCCCTTTCCCAGTATCACCCATAGGAGCAGTTCCAAAGTACCATAACCTTCCTATGTTAATGAAAATCTCTGCAATATAAACTGCCAAATTTCTGCCTTAAAATACAAAGCAAACTGAATATAATTTTAACATTTCTTGATGACACAGGGTCTTGATTATGAACAGTGACTATTATGTGCCATTACAATGTAGTATCTCAGGAACTAAAGTGTGTATGATCTCTGATCTTGTATTAATTGACCCCAGTCTATTGTATTTGGACATAAGAAGATTTATCTTTATTGAGACAAGGTCTCTCCACATTTCCCAGGCTAGGTATCAAATTCACAGACTCAAGTGACCCCCTGCTTCAGCCTCCTCGAGTATTTGGAACTACAGGCATGTGTACCTTGCTAAGACTTTTATTTGAAAATCATACTACCTTATTTATCTTTTCATTCTTCTTGGCAAATACAGTATTATTTCTTACTAGACTGTTTAATGCTAGCATCTTCCCCACACAATAGTAATTTTATATGCTAATGACCAAAAAAGCAAATAAATAAATGCTTTTCGGTCATTAGCATCATCAATCAAAAGCCTGAAGTGATAGATGAAGGCTTACAGATGGCTCCAGGCCTTCCTATGAACTAAAGTGCATGGGCTTGGAGATAGCTACTTTCCTTCTCACTAAGAAATTTAACTGTTTTTATTTTATACTGTGCTGTGACTTAAAAACTCCAGCAATCTAACAGCTGAATAAATCAGAAGTTAACAAAGCACCTATTACTAAATAATCAAGTTTTACAACTATAAGACACTACCATATACTACAAAATACTCTAATCAAGTATTGTACTTGTTACTAATAATATTTAAATAACTCACCTGATTTCTTTTAGTCCTTCTCTCTGGATAACTTGAAGAATTTCTTTATGACTCATGGGTGTATTGGGGTATTTTTCTAAGACCTGAGAAACAAGTATATGATAATAAATTATTTCTTATTTTAAGTTCTTATGTAGCAATTATAGCTCTTCTAATTGTCTTAAATTACATCCCAAACACATATACTGAGAATTTTCATCACAGATCTTCTCTCCCTCAACCACAAACAGCAAATGAAATTCTGAAGCAGAAATGGATCAAAAAGCTAAAATTAACCATTAAAATACTATTAATGACTATGAAATTGTTTGCTGTCTGCCTCTACCCACATATCACATCCCTACCTCTGACCTACTGTAAACATCTTAAGATTATCCATTTTTACATTTCCAGAAAAAAGTACAGCACGGATGTGCAATGAATTCTTAACCAAACAAATGAAGCATATAACTACAGTGAAATTCAATGATGTGTGTGCTGGTTCTCATGAAGACAGAGAGCAAGCATAGTCCCTCCTGTTTCAACAGAACACATGAAGCAGTCACTTGAAAATGACAGTGGGTGGCATGGGGAGGAAACAACAAGCACCACGCGTATGGCAGTGAGTTTCCTGGTTTTGTTTCCTCTGACAGCTCTTGGAATGAACCAAATAGCAGCCCCCGACCTGGAACAGCACACTAAATACAGACAGAAAGGATCCAAAGAGAATTCTCTTTCTTGGTCTGAGGCACAGCACATGGTACCTTCTTTGTGTCACACAGAGGGAGGGGAAATCCTGAGAGGTTTGGGTTCTCTTGTTTTCCCACTTCTCTTTCTCTGCCCCTTCCCCAGGCCATCAATGGCAGCAGCTGTGGTGGTGTTAAGACCAGTAGTGGCTGAAGAGAGACCTAAAACTCCAAGAAAGGGAAACTTCTGGTCCCCTGAGTGCAGAGGGAATCTCCATGATTTATATTCTTTATCGCCCTATTGTGTGACTTCAGAGATAAACGCAGTACTGAAGTGTGCAACAAGTTCGGGCAGGTGGCGTACTCCTAGATTCTAGGCCAGACTGGGCAACCCAATGACTTACATAGACCCTGTCTCAAAATAAACAATAGAAAGGGCCAAGAACATAGCTCAGTGTGAAGACCCTCACTCAGTTCAATCCCTAGTACTGCAAAAACAAAACTCCTACCCTTCCCTGAAGTTCATTTTTCTACAGAATTTAAAGAAAACATAGTATCATAACGCAGGATCAAAATGTCTAATATACAATCGAAAATCACTCAACACAAAAAATCAGGCAAAGGAAAGCTATATGATATGATACAAATGTTAGAACTCTCAGACAAAAGCTGTAGGGCTGGGGATTTAGCTCAGCGTTCCACTGCCTTCCTCACAAACACGAAGTCCCAAGTTCGATCTCTGGTACCCAAAAAAAAAACCAGCCGCTAGTGTTACCATGGTTCAAGAACTCAGGGTATCCAGGTATGACGGGTCCTAGCTTAGGATACTTAAGCTGGAAGATTGCTTAATGCCAGGAGTTTAAAGTCAGGCTGGGCAACATATCAAAACTTCATCTCAAAAACACAAAGGGCCAGGGATTTAGCTCAGTGGTTCCACTGCCTGCCTCACAAGCACAAGGACCCAAGTTCAATCCCTGGTACCAAAAAAAAAAAAACAAAAAAACCCCACACAAAACAGAGGTTGGAGTGAATATTCTTGAAATCAGTAAGTCTCAGAAAAAAAAAAATATATATATACATATATGCTTCATATATTTGTGTTTATATGTAAAAACAAAATACAATTTTAGAACTAAAAGTTTAGTACAATAACTGAAATTTTAAAAATTACTAGAAGGATTTCATACCAGAATGGAGATAAGAGTTAGTGAACTCGAAAAAACAGCAACAGAAAAAACAATGAACAGATTCAAAGGGAGACTATCGAGAGCTCTAACACCCATGCCATCAGTCACAAAGGCAGAGGAGAAACAATGGAGTGCAGAAAACATAACTGAAGAAATAGCAGCTGGGGATTTACCTCAGTGGTGCTGCCACCTCCCTCGCAAGCACAAGGTCCTGAGTTTGATAAATCCCGCTACCACAAAAAAAAGAGAAAGAAATAACAGAAAACTCCGCAAATTTAGCGATAAACACAATTTCAAGAACAACAAATCTCATACAAGGCAAACTCAAAGAAATCTATACCCAGAAAAGAACTCCTGAAAACTGAAGAATGGGAAAACTAAGACTGTTCTCCTCCCAAAAAATCCTTTAAGCAGCAAGGAAAAAATAATTTATTACAATAAGGAGAACAGTGATTCAAATGACTGTGGGTTTCTGATCAGAAAGTACAGGCAGAAGAGTGAAAATTTTTTTAAAGGGCTGGGGATTTAGGTCAGTGGTTTCGCCGTCTGCTGTGCAAGTGCAAGGACCCGAGTTCGATCCCCAGTACCAAAAAAAAAAAAAAATGTTTTTTTAAGTGTGGAAAAAAAGAACCGTTGATCCAAAATATGGTATTTATGAAAATTACCCTTCAGGAATAAAGGAGAAAGCAAGGACATTCTCACATGAAAGAAATTATCAGACTTGCCTTAAAATGACAATCTCTTACGTCAATTCTGAATCTCCCAGGGTATTTTCCATCTGTTTCTGTTTAGAAATTAACTTCTTGAAATGGATACTTAACCATTATTGTCATCATTATTATTTTATTATTTTCTTGGGATTTGGGGGGGTGGGGTCCGGGAATGAAACTTTAAGAGCTTTGTGCATACTAGGCAAGTGCTCTGCCTGAGCCACACCCCAGCCTCTAGCATTGTTCTTTTCTAATAGATGGATGCAAGGCTATAAATTCCCCTTTATGCGTAGTTTTGCTATATCCCACAAATATTAACATGTACTATTACCATCAAGAATTAGCTCAATATGCTTCTAAATGGCACTGTGATTTCTTCCTTCATTTGTAAAATACTCAGCAATGAGTTGCTTAATTTTCAAAATTAAGATTTTCCATTTTCCTTGTTTTAATTTTTATTAGCATGTGTCTGCAACACATAACTATTACATTCTTTGTGGGGAGGTGATACATGTACACTACGCATCTTAATTCTGTCTTTTTTCCCTTGCCCCTTCCCACGTCCCCCACCATGTCTCAGTCCTCTCTCCATTTACAAAAGATCTGTTTCCCTGTTTTCCCTATTATCTTTTATTTTGCTCTTTATTTATACTTTGGGTTTTTCATATAAGAGAAATCATGTGGTATTTAAGCGTGTTTGTCTGATTTATTTCACTTAACATTATGGTCCCAAAGATGCAGCCATTTTCCTACAAATGACTCAAAATTTATCCTTCTTTATTATACAGTAGTACTCCACTGTGTATACATATCACATTTCCCTTATCTATTCATCTGCTGTTGGACATACAGGCCACTTCCAAGATTTACCTTTTATGAACTGTGCCACGATAAACAAGGATGTGCATGAATACTGTAATGTCTTTCATTCTTGTTTTTCCATTTTTTCTAATTGCCACTTCAGAGAACCTCAGAACACTTAATTCCAATTTTAGTATATGTGCTGCCGAAGTGAGCACAGAACACTTAATTCCAATTACTGTCCCCACCTGACCTCACACATTTTTGTTACTGTTGTGTATAATTAATATGCATTTAGACTTAAAACACTTATTTGTCCCTTCCATGGATTTTTATCTGTCCAGCATCTCTCCAAGCCTCCACCTAGAATTATTTTTCTGATAAGCTCATTTTAATATTTCCTTTAGGGTGAATCTGCTAATGACAAATTTGCTGGGTTTTTAGTTGTACTTATTTTGTCTTCATTTTGGAAGATAAGATACTGTGTATAAAATTCTAGGCTGGCAATTATTTTCTTCAACACTATAAAAGTATCAGTTCATTGTCTTGTGGATTCCACAACTTCTAATCTGGAAATCAACTTTTGGTTTTATCACTGATCTTTTAAAGGTAGTGTATCCACGCCCTGCAACAAACCAACCTTCTGGCTTTAGTTGTCAGCAGTTTACTATTATGTGCCTAGAAGTAATTTTCTGCTGGACGTTCATAGGACTTTTTTTCTTTTTGCAGTACCAGGGATGGAACTCAGGACCTTGCACTTGCAAGGCAGGCGACGGCACCTCTGAGCTAAATCCCTGGCCCTATAGGACTTCTTGAACCTTCTTGGCTAAGTTTTCAAAATTGCTCCTGCCCCATTCTCTTTCTTTCCTCCTTAGAATCTAATTACTAAATGTTTTTATTTTACAATGTCCCATAAGACTCTCTTCTTTGCTGTCATTTTTTTTCCATCTTTCTGTTTCACTATTTATATCAACTTAATTTTTAAACTAGCTGAAGAAACAATTACTAAAACTAGAAAATCTACCTTAAGCCTAACCACTGAGATCTTAAATTTCAATTATTATATTCCTTTGGTCTAAATTTTCCATACCAATTAGTTTGTAGTTTCAAACTTTCCATGAATATTCTCCACCTTCTGTTAAGTACACGTTTATAAGTGTGTGGGGGGTATTGGAGATTAAACTCAGAGCCTGAAACACGTCAGGCAAATGCTCTACCACGGACCTATACCTCACGCCCGAATTATATTAATTACAGCTATTTCAAAGCCCATCTCTGAAAACTCCAATCAATATGAGTCATCTGAATATGCTTGTGCTATTTATTTTTCAGTAAAAATCTATTTTCTATATGCGGCTTTTTTTCCTGTATTTTTTGTTGTTGCTACAGTGCAATTTTCCTACAGTAAAATATGGAAATCTTAAGTGTATAACTCTAGGAGTTTTTAAATACGTGTGTAGACAGATAGGAACAGATATAGATGAATATCACATAAAGATTTTCAATATTCCAAAATTAATTCCAGGTGTTGAGTTAAAGCCATACACGATCCTATACATCAATATATACATTAAGCAAAAGGGATTTTCTCCATGCTATGGTTTAAATGTCTGCCAGCTTCAAACGTTCTGTTGAAGTTTAAGAGCCACTGTGAAGTGTTGAAAGATTGTTTTAGTTTGAGACAGGATCTTGCTAAATTACTAAACTGCCCAGGGTGGGC